GGAAAAAGGGCTACTTTATAAATCATTGGTTTGACCCAACTTTACTGCTTTTATTAAAAATATTCCGAAAACTTTTCATAAATAAAATTTTACACTTTAGAAACCGCAACGTTAACAATTTTTTTGTTTTTTTGTTTTTTCTTAACTAAATCTTCAAAATTAGGTTAAAAGGAAAATAATTTTCATCTTTGGTCCTTTCGAAATTCTTTTCTCCTTATCTTGCATAAATTACTGAAAATTTTGTTATGCTCTAGTTATAATGATCACATGCAGGCTATTAGATAAAAGAGAAGGAAAATATATAATATTTATGTATGTATGTAAACATAATATTGAATTTATGGTACTTAATGGGTTACCGAGACCTCTTTAAACACAAACTAGTAATGTATATAAACCATATTATTAGAAAGTACAAGGTTTTTAAGAAATGTTTTGAAAAATATAAAAATATTAATATATAAGCAAACTTATATAACTATTTAATTTCATAAATAACTATGCTCTATCAAAGTTCATATATGGACATTGATGGTGAAGGTACATGTTATTAAAAGACGAAGTATCTAGTTAAGTTCCATTCAATATTTCAGATTTGTATTAGGCATAGCGACTGTTCAATAAGAATATTATTGTTCCAAGACAATTTTTTGTTATTACATAATATTAAAGGACGCCTGTGTTTATAACATACTGTTATTACGTGATGGAACTGTTGACTGTTCTATAAAGAATCTAGTCTAAAATTTTAATAAACTTAATTTAACTTGTTAATAGATGGTAAATGAAAACCAAATTTATTTAAAACTTTTTTACATAACCATAGTTTAAATTTCTTAGAATAAAAACAACACGAAAGGAAAACAATTTTCTCCTTCAATATTTTTACCTCTAAATTTTTAATACGCTAGTTTTTGAAAACCGATTGAATCGAAACCACAAACAAATTCCTTTCTGAAATAAGAAGAGGAGATTTCTTGATGCAATTTCCGAAAAGATGGATGACACAGACAAAGTAACATGTCAAGGGAAAAAAATTTAAAAAATGTTCGTGTCAAACTAGATTCGATTAAGCAAGGCGGATTTCTCGCGCTCGCCGAAGACGCGGTGCCGTTGTAAGGTCTTCTTTTAAATTTTTTCTGCAAAGTAAGCAGAAAGAACGATTTAGGGTTCGCCAACCCTAAAAACAAATATGCAAATATAAAAAGGATGAAATTCCTTGAAAATTAATCATTCATTTGAAACATTTTTCTGTTTTAACTCCTGAATTCATTTTGCCCTTTCAAGGTAAGTAATTTTTTTATAAAAAGAAAGTAAGATATGAAATTGTAAAACTATCAAACTCTATACTCTTTTACTAACTTTTCGCTTCTTGTTTCTTGTATAAAATTGAATGCAAGTTCTTTTTTGGCACAAAATTACTTGCGATTTAATTTTAAAATAGAAGAGTTTCAGAGTTTTCAAAACATGTAAAAATATATTTTGAATACTCATCAAATTTTTCATATTCAAACATTATAGGAATCAATAAAATTCTATCATACAAAATCTAGATCTCATAATCTAAATACGTTTGTCTTGTAAATACATAATATGCAAATTGTAAATATTTTTCCTATAAACATAATGTAAATCAACTATTATATAGAGTCTGGTCTAAAACATGAAATATAAAACTGGGTCCTGTAGAATTTAAAAAAAAATATTAAGCTCACACTCAGACTTTTGTACTTATATAACATTTTACTAAAAAAAAAGAAAAGTTTTTCTTTTGATTATTTTTAGGACAAAATAAAAAAAAAATAAGAGCGTATCATCCAGAAAATATTGCACTTGGGTATGCTCAATATAAAGGTAATTTTTGATAAGTTTTCTCCAGTTTTTTCACAATGTATATATATACAATATACTTATGTATTTTCCAATTTAACTTGAATGTTTGCATAAATATATTTTGTAATCTGCACAATAATGTGTGCTTTTTCCATTACAATAATTTTTTTTGTTTTAATTTTTACTCATATACACACATATGTAGATTTCGAATTTTGCAAGGATATTCAAATGTAGATAATTTTCTATTAATATATACCTGGGCGTGTAATGTTAAATTTTGACTAAGTTTTACTTATTTGTTCACTTAAAGTTTCGAAAATAATGTTATGATACTTTTAAAGAAAAAAAAACCAAAATTTCTGGAAAATATGGATATGACAGACTTATGTTCATTAATCAAACATATATAGATATTTTACTGTATGCATATTGATATTTGTAAAAGTATTTACTATTATTTAAAAGATATTATTATTTACATTGATATATGCATATGTAAAAATGTTTAATTTCAAATACGTTCGTTAAAGCAACCATGCTATAAAGCAGGCTTTGAAAAATCCTGTACAGAATAATAATTAAAAACGAAAAATTAATTTATTATCGAGGTATTGTATTCAGATGAAAATTTTAAATGCCGAATTTTTCGCCTATCCATTTTTAGAGCAATACAAAAGAACACAATTTTAAAGAAATTTCCGTCACTTTGTCGGTTGAAGTATTTCTGTATATTTTAGACTTCACTTTTAACTGCAATTTGTTATAAATTTTTTTTATAGCAAATTGGTTTAATTAATAAGTATTTACTTGAGTTTTTGAAATAAGTTTACAAAATACATCCCCCATTGTTTTTCACTTCTACAAATTATTACAGTAAAGAAGATATGTAAACTGCTAAAAGTTTAAAATAGAATAACAATAAGTTCTAAACAAGACTTTTATCTAAACAAAAATTCAAAATTTAATCTTATAAAATAATCCAGCTAAATTTTCAAACGGCTCTTTCTTTTTTTAAAATATTAAAATTATTACCAATTTTATTTTTAAAACACATTTTTATTAAAGTTTAACACATGGTTCCATTTCTCAAAAAAAATTTCGTATCAACAAAATATTTACAAAAAAAAAAAATATTTAAATCCTGAATTACTTGACACTAATTTGAATTGCAAAAAAGTCAACTTCGGAAAAAAAATTTTCTAGTGGATTATAGAACAAAAAACAAATTCTTAAAAATATTCCAAACAGGCACTTGATTAGAAACTTCTAATGTTGTGCAAAAAATATTTGAAATTTAATTTTTATGTTGTTAACACCTACTTAGTTACGTTAAATTCAGTGAATAAAGAATAACATCACCTAAACAAGTTTCGAATTTTTTGTTTTATATAATTTTTCACATTTTAAAAATTAGAATTTATTTTTTGCTTAAAATTCTAACACTTAGCATATTTTAGCAAGTTTGAATACATACATACATAATCTACATAGAATTTTAATATTTTTATTTGTGTGATTTCTGATATACAAACAGACGTCTGTCCTAATTTGTGTTTTTACTTTTGTGTAATTTTTTAATGAAAAATTTTTCTTTTTTTCTGCGTTGTTTACATTTGATTTTTTTTAACCTTATAAAGTATTTAGAGCATAAAAATGTAAATCAGAAGAAGAAAAGACAATGGAATAAGAGATGTTTTGCTAAGCAAGAGTGTAGAAAGGGAAAAATTTAGGTAACTTATTAGATGAAAAGCAAGGTGTATAGAAATTGAAAACATAATGAATATTTTACATAAATAATTATAAAAAAATTCTTATTTAGAAAATATCTCAGACTTATAGAGGAAAGCAATGCAGTAAGTACACTGAGGGAAAAAAAAGTTGAAAAATTAAAATTTTGCGTACTTAATTTAAGATTTTTTAACAAAAATGTTATTTTTACTATGAAAAATTTTAAATATAAAGAGAAATAACTTAATTTAACTTTTAGAGTTTTAATTTAACATTTTCAAAATTTAATATAAAAATTTTGTTTTAACTTTGAATTCTAAAAATTTTGTTTTAACATTAACAATGTTAAATTTAAAATTTTCTATTCTTAAAATCAAATCAAAATTTTAATTGTTAATTTAAATTTGCTTTATTTTCATTTTAATAGTTATTGCAAACTTAAATTAATATTTTCCAAATTTATTTCAACTCGAAACCAGACTTAAAATAAGTATTTCCAAACTTAGAATAAAATTAAAATTTAAAAATCTTGCTTTGAAATTGTAGTTATTGAAATGGGTTTGACGTGATGTTATTTCAATATCAAAATTTAAAAATCAAATTTTGAAATTTTAAATTTACATTTATATTATTTATTTTGACAAGCTTAAAATGAAATCAATCAATTTTAAATTAAGATTTTTCAAACTTAATACACAATGTTTTCACATATTTCACAACATTTTCTCTCATATTTTAACGGGACAAATTCGAGAAGAATTTTTTCTTTCTCATAATTCGTTCAGTTTGACTTTATGCTTGGTGCCGCAAATACGTACATTGTGTTTATAAACGTGTTTTGACTTGTTTAAACGAAAAAATAGATTACATATTAAATATAATAATTTTAAAATGTTTTTAAAAAGTAAATAATAAAAAAAAAGTTTTAAATAATAATAAAAGTGAATTTGATAAAATGAGTGAAGAAAATCTGGTAATTATTTTAGAGGATTATTTAAGTGGACAACCCAAATCAACAAAAGAAAAATATGGCAATGAACAAATTCACGAATCCGTAATATTAATAAGCGAAAATAAGGATGACAAACGTTTACTCGATTTTTTAGAAAAAAAGATATAACAGAGGATTTTACATATCTAAAGCGTAAGTATTTCAATGAATTCTAATGCATTTTTGGTTTAAAAATTAGACGCATTTTAAAATGTTTAAACTACGAAGTATATTTGTAGGTATAGATATATATACATTATATATACATCTATATATCTACATATAATACTACACTACATTTTGTATATTTACGTGTAAGTAAAATATAGACTGTAAAGTTAAAAATTTACATTGTGTAAACTGCAAATTTTAACAATTTTTTATAGTGATCACGCCAAAGGTTCAATTTTTTAAAAGTTTAAATTTTAAACCATTTGAATTGAAAATTATTATTTCTAAACTTTTTTATGCAAAATCAAAACTATATATGCATACTTTAAGTGCATATCTTTATTTAAGAATGTAACTACATTTCAGGCTCTGACATAACTTTTAGAAGCTTGCAATATACCTCGAAAGACGAAATACGAGAAACATATAATATATTGGTATCAGAGCTGAGTCTTTCGAAAAACTACTTCGTGGGCGAAAACAAGAAGTACGTAGCACGAATTAACAAAAAAAATTTTTAATTTAGATTTTTATTCACGGATTTTAGTTTGGAATGGACGATACTGTTACTATTACGAATTCTATTACAGAGTGGGTCAGTGAAAGTTCGGGTTGATCAAACAGTGTTTCAGAAAGCTAACAAAAAAAGTGAATCTGATGCATTAAACGGAAGTATTTAGTCATAGTATTTTATATTAAAAATAAATAATATTTTAAAAATTTTTTTTTAGCATTTCTCTAAAAAAATTCCATCCACAAGTAGAGAAAAATATTTAATTTTGCAATATCAATGCAATCAAAAGATGAACAATCGTATTAGTAATAAATTAGTTAATCTAATTATGGAAGAATTAGTAGCAAACGACGTTAATTTGAAAATTAACGATTTTCCAAGTTTGGTTGAAATTATGTGTGAACTTCCCTGATAAAATTAATTACAAAATAAGTTGTCTTATTGTATGTATGAAGCTATATGCAGATACATTTCATTTCATACATTATTTTTTCTATTTATTTCTAGGAATATTATTTTATTCCTCGCACTCATAAGAAATTGTGGACCTCTTAAATATCTTTAGCCAATGCGAATCGAAGATAAACATAAAGAAGCAATAATTTACTTTAGTAATATAACGTCAGGAATGAATCCGTCTCATACATTAGCAAAAAAGTCTGGTCTAATGTCCTCTAAGTTTTTGTTGACTTATGAAAAGGGCCTAACTTTCCATATCCAATATGGTAAATTTAGTACGATTAATTTAGAAAAAACAAGTTTTTTTCTGCCATAGTGAAAGACATTAACTTTCTACAAATTATGCAGGAATATAATTTGAATTTACAATCAATGATGCAGTTGGAAATACTGATTTATAAACGAACCACTTACAAATTTGAATATTATTTAATATAATATAATGATGAAAATACTGTTACCGGAACTGTTAAAATTGGAAAAAATTTTTGTTGTAAATGAAAGAAAATAAAATTACAAAGCTCTGATGATCACTTTCAATCATTTGAAGTGGGTCGAAAATCAAATAATTTACAAGTTTGCCGTTACATATATATTCAGTTAATAATGGAAAAACTTATATAAGAATTAAATATTTGTAAACCGTTTATGTAAGAATTATCATCAATGAAGAAAAATAATCATTTATGTTACTAAAAAACAAATAATTTATGTTAATAAAGTGTCAAAATCTTTAAGTTTCCATTTTGTTAATTATACATATTTTCTTTTTCAGATCGCAAAAAGTTAGCAACTCAGAACAGTATAAGAAATTTACCTAAAAAAAGAGAGTTCTGTAAAATTTCAGATCGAATTTGCAAATAAACTTCTTTTCATTATCAAATTGAGATTTTGATACACATTCCCCATTATTTTAAGGTAACTTACATATTAATTGCTTAAATTTGAATAATAATTGTTGTTTCAATTGATTTAAATTTGATTGAAAAATTGGGAGTTTTGAAAAAAGTAACTTCATATCACAAAATATCAATATGATATTCAAAACTACGAAATATGGTATTCAAAGAGCGAAAAATATCCAATTTTTAAAAAAGTAATACAAAAATAAATTAAAACCATGTTTTTCAATCCTTGAAAGTTTAAAAATTTTTTTGCGCACCATAGTTTGATTTTTTTTTAAAGCACGTTCTCTTTTCAAAATTTCCAATCTTTTAATTAAATTTTTGAATTGAACTGTTGAAATAAAAATTATTTAAATTTAAATTAATATGTAAGTAAACTTAAATTTATAGGCCCTATTCTCAATTTAAATTTTAACAAAATTCGAATTGAGTTTACTCAAACTTAAATTAATATCTTAAATAAGTTAAAACAATCATGAAAAATCTTAAATCAAGTGTAAGTCATTTCATTTTAGTAAATAAATATTTAAGTTTAGGCATATTTATTTTAAATTTGTTTAAACTTATTTTAAGTTCGTTTCAGTGTTGGTCGATAATCATCGATATACTTGATTTAAGATTTTTTTTACTTAATTTTACATTTTTTTTCCCTCAGTGTAAGTGTACTTTTGAAGAAAATACTAAAATTGTTGGTAAAATACATAAGCACTTCTTAATTTGAAAAATATTGTTGTATTCTATTCAATTTTAAAATTAAAATAAAATAATAAAATAAAATAAAATAATAGTATAAATAATAAAATTAAAATAAAATAATAGTAAAAGTAAAGATAATGAAGAATAACATAACCATAAATATTTTATTTTTTTTGTAATTTATTAGGCCTCCGATACAGTGACTAGAGCGCTATGCATAATTTTAAATGGAATGTAAACGCATTAATTTTTTTAGGCATGCTTATAGGCAATTTTAATTGATTAAAGATATTGCAAAACTAAATTAAATATTTAAATACAATCTCCAAGATAAGTGGCCAGAGAAATAAAATTATTTCTGAAGTATACTGCAAAGTTGCTAAAGTTTCTATTTACTTATCAATTCTTTTGAATATATGAGACAAGGCGGGAAAAAACCTGCTTAACTCACCTCAATTAAACTTTATAGAAAAGAAAATTGATCGCGATCAGATTATTTGCAAAAAAAAAAATAACCAGACACGATGTATCTGAACAGATAAAACATGAAAAATTTCGAATCTTTTAATAATTAGAGCTTAAAATACGAATTTTATATGGAAACGAAGTCCAGTTATGGACGATTGAAGTTACTCGAGTTTGATGTTTCAAATAAGTATGTATTCATACACCTGCTGGTGTATTTTTATAAGTAAGTATTTGAGTATATGATATTTTTAAAAGCCTTTAAAACCTAACATTACTTGTTTAAAATACAGACCAAAACTCATTGACCTCTTTTGTTCTTTGAATATACTATAAAAAAATTTTTACTTGTAAATTTATTTCCCTCGCGATTCATATGAATGTTATATAAAAACAAAAAAAAAATAATAAAAGCTGAAAACTAAAAATTGAGAATAAAGTGAATTAAATTGTTTGCTTTCCCTTTAATAAACTTAAGCACCATTAAGCAAGATCCTAGATTACACGCACACAGTATTTACTTATGTGCATATTCTATATATATGTAAAATTATATACATACTTATATATGAATGTGTGTATGTGCAAAATTTATACAATAAGAAATACAAATCCTTGATGTAAATATAATTCTTCCTTTTTTATTATTGTATAGTCTTTATATACTCATATATGTACACATATTATTATCCTTCTTATGGGAAAATAAAGAAAATAAAAATTTCCAAAATGATTTTTCAAATTTACACGTGCATATATCTTAAAGTTTTCCAGGAATAGCTTCAAGTTTAATAAGTTGTAAAATATTAATGAAAGAACAAAATTTTACAATCATCGTTTCATTATAGAACAAGTTGAATAATTTCAATTGGTCATCTAAATAATTTAAAAAGTTTATAATGCATAATAAAGAACTTTCAGTGGGCAAAACCAAAGATGATTCAATCAAGACAATATAAAAATTTTATGTTTAACGTTAAGATTAAGAAGTAAATATTTTTCTGTCAACAAACAGTACTATGAAGTCCTGACATTTTTCGAACGCGGGTAAGGAATAGAAATGCTATTTGGATTAATTTTGACAAGCTTCTCAAGTATATCAGGAAAACTAATCAGAAAATAATTTAGCAGTTAGAGCTTTTACATAAAGGCATAGTTGAGGAATAAATTTAATAAAACATTCTTTTTTTCCTAGCAGCTTGTATATTTAACAATTTTTATTGTTAATTCAAAAATGTGTTCATTTGCAAACCATTGATCGTGTTCATTCGAAATTACCTGATAAAGTAAAATTTTTGACATGTTGTTTGAACAATTTTCACTTTACTTCGCATATGATTTATCAGTCTTTCATTTAAAATTATTCCATTAGACTTTATTTTGTAGAATTGATTTTAAATATGTCTAAAATCAATATAACATATATACGTCTATATATAATATGTATACATACAAACAAAATTATTTCCTCACACTAGCATATTATTATTATAATAGACAAATCCTTACGGGTGGTAAAGAGCTAATAGCATTTAAAAATAAAAAAAAAAAAAAAACATAAATATAAGACATAAAATAAATGGTAAGAGAAAAGACAAATTGGCATGAATTCCGCAAATTTTACTGCAGGCTTTTACAAAAATACAAACTTGTGCGCATTCATATAATGCATACATAGACTTTATATATATATACCTATGCATAATATACATATATTATTATGTACGTATTGTTTCATGCATAGTCGATAGTATAACAAAAAGGACTTTTCACATAATATTGACAGTGTGGTATTGGAAAATGTGTTTTTCTTTAAAAAAAAAATAAAAAAAATTCTTTATGTGAAAAAATTAAAATTTTTTAAGAAATTTTCAAGAACTTAATAAATAATTCGTAAATTTATTTAGGCTCAAATTAGTAAAGATATTACTATTGTTTTTTTATTACATATACATATATTGTATAAAAGTCTAGACATTAAAACGAAACAAATAGTGTAGAAACTTTCTTATAGAAAGGGAGATGTAAAGTTAAGGAAAATTTCTTAAATTTTAATCTTATATAAAAAAAAACAAACAAATTTTGTTTTAATCTTTCACTAATCTCAAATAAAATTAACTTAGGTACTAAATACCAATAATAATATTATAATGTGTAACGTAATGGAAACCAATCTTTATCTATAAAGTTTGCTTTCCATTACGTTACACATTACAATTTCTTGGTCCAATATAATTTCCTCCAAGAATAATTTCCTGGTCCAATATAATAATTTTACTATTTTATTTAAATAGTACAATTTACCTTAAAAGTAGACATTTTGTTATACTACAAGCTGCAAGTGTATTACAAATTTGAACAATTCATATACATAATACTCGCCAAATGGTTTTGATTTATTTCTAATATTAAACTCCCTGTATAATTATATCACCGAATTAATTTTCAAGAATCCATAATGTATACACTTAAGAGACCTATTGTACGAGAAAGAGTAAAAAAAAAATCTAGATCCATAAAAATATGAAAAACCTACATTATTCTATAGACAGATAACAATCACTATACAGGCACACACAGACTATATACCCATACATGCATTTAATTGTTATACGACATTTGGGAAAGTAGAACAAAAAGAAGGGGGGGAGGGGGACAGAAATATCGATTCACCTAAATTTTTATTTTGTTCTTGGCTTGATTTTTCTCATTTGTTTTTTATGTTTTCTTTATACTTCATCTTATTTCAGGGTTCGTTTCCGA